TGTAAAATGGGCTGCATTTAAATTTAATAAATAAATTAGATGTTGTCATAATTGGCTAGGGGCCACCTCCTAGCCAGCCCCCTTTTTCATTTTGGTAAAATGTATCTTGATATACCTTTGACATCTGAGCTTCTGTGTTATTTCTGGTACCCAACAAGACCATAAGCAGTGCAGAAGAGATACTCAAAGGAGAAAAAAACAAGTTCTTGGTAGGATCATTTTCACTAAGCTTCTTAAAGAGATTGAGGGCAAAGGTTGTGTTTGCTGCAGAAAGACTGTCCATGTTTCTGAATCTAGAAAAAAAAATATAGTATGATAAACCATAGATTATGTCCTAGATAATGACTGAAACCCCCCACCCAAGGAACTATTTCTTTGTTCGACTTGATCATTCTACTTTAAGGAACATGATCTACAGAACTTAGTGGGAAAAATCTAAAAGAACTATGAACCCCACTTCCAGATTTATATATAATTCCAAAGATAACAACAGAGTCTCCCCATGTGAAAAAAGTAAAATGTTTTTTTTCTGCAGTGTAGGCAAGAATGCTTTAGAAAAATCAAAAGTTAGCCTCCATATTAAGGAACAACAGTAGCAATCCTAAGTAGTACAAAGTACCGGCCATGCCACAGCGTATGTAAAATAAAAGTATGAAAGAAGTTTATTAAATTCTATTAAGTTTTTCATTCTGCCAGATATTTGGTGGTGGTGGGGGGCATTCCTCTACTCAATGCAACAGAACAGCTTCACAGAAAACAGCAGTTCTATCAGGACACAGGGAATTGAGAATCCCAACCAGGCATCCCTAACATCTCTCCTCTGCCTATCCAATAACGAACCCACCATGGGAAGATTGGTAGTGCAACAGGTAACTCCAAACTCACAGCAGCACATTGTACTGCAAAAGCTGGTTTAGGCTCAGCAAAGTGTCAATCAAGCTCCCAAACAAGGGGGCCACTGCAAACTGTCCACTGGCACTTTAGCTCAATCTCACTTTGTGGCACCGGCAGGACAGGGGAGACTGAGAAAAACTTACAATGGTCCTACCTGGGGAAAAGTTAGGATTCTGGGCTACTAGGACAGTTATACT